TTTTTTTTTTTTAAAATTTTTATTTATTTGTATGTGTATGTGTGTGTGTGTGTGTGTGTGTGTGGCCAGCTCAGCCCACCAAGGGGCGGGGCTGGCTGGCATGTGGTGCTGGGGGATTGAACCGTGATCCCTGTGTTTTGCCAAAGCTTGTTCTAAGTAGGTGCTTTAGACCACTGAGCCATCCCACCAGCCCCAGAGGTTGGTCTTAACACAATCTCTGTTCTCCCCAGTAAATTGGTAAGTAGGTTTCATATTCTAATAGTTTCCAAGAGAAATCACCCCCTGCCTATCTCTTCCTGGCCCCCGATTGACTGTCCTCCAGCTCCCAGGAACAGACTAGGCCAGGTTGCAAAATTCTAGACCCTCTGTAGATATGGCAGAGAAATGTTTAAGGGATTTGCCGGCTCAAACTACGGGCTAAATGGCCCGCAGGCTGATTTATGGTGCGTTACTGCTCGACGCGATTCCCTAAGACAGCGGGAATATTTTACACCGTGCTAATATAAACAGGCGGCCGGCCGGGTCCTTTTTATGGAGTTCCTGTAATTACCCGGACCCTGACAGGTCCTTGATTTACTGCCCTATTTAGATAAGGGGTCCAGTGCAGGGATTGCCCGTGGCGTCAAGGTCACTGGACGCAGTGGTGGGGAGCAGGTTTGGCAGTAGGCGCTGGAGCCTGCGTAGCGGGGGTGAGGCAGGAGAGGGGTCCTGTCCTTACTCCAGATTGGCTGCGGCACAGGGATCCATTGCACAGATGGGGTAACTGAGACTGGAGTCTTTCAGAGTCAGGTAGCAAGGGAAATGGAGGTGAGGAGGGGACCTGGAACTGAAATCCTCCTACCTGGGGCTGCTCTGTGTCCTCTAGTTCTGGCCTTGTGGCAGCTGAGTTCTGCAGGGTAGGTGTAAGAGGGAAGGACACTGGCTGGTCCCTAGTGGGAGCAGGGCAGAGAGCAGAGAAGCTGAGGAGTGCTGGCCTCTTGTCCCTGGGAGGGCTTTCTAGTGGTGTGCCTGCATGAACTTCATTTCTTCTTGCGGAAATTTATGCTCCTAACAGCAGACCCATCTTGGCTGGGGCTACCGTTAGCATGCTGAGTGTCAGCCACACCAGTTAGGTTCATTTTACGTCACTCATCTGTGCTGGGTGGGTTTTACTGTCCCCTCATTTACAGGGGGTGACACAGAAGGTTTGCAGAGAGGAATGGGAGTACCCATTTCTGCTGCTCTGCTTGCTCTCTTGAGAGCTCCTTTAACAGTTTCTTAACCAATACTTGCTTAAGCTGTCTTTGTGGAGTGAGAGGGCCTGTCTGACCCCACCAGTACAAATGGGAGAACTGAGAAGCCTGCACTGAAAACTCTACGAGCCAAAATTGCTGCAGCCACTTGCTAGGTAAACAGAGCAGGTTAGGGGCACTGCCTGGCCGGGCACTGGCCAGCAGGACACCAGGCTACTGGGCCCCTGGTGCCTGGGCTGGAGGAGGAGTCCTCACTTTGGGCCCAAAGGCAGAAGAGCCGGGGGATTCCGTGCAACAGTGGGAGTCAGTTCTATGTCCCTTTTTCTGCAAATGGGGAAATGGAGGCTCGCAGCTGGAAAGGAGCACACCCACTCTAGGTGCTGTGGCCCTGGACGTCCGCAGACTCCTCAAGCACCTGAGCCTGGCTGGCTTTGAAAGCACTTGGGAGACTGGCTGCTCCGGCAGCTTAGTGCCTGGAGTGACCCTGCTGCCAACCCAGAAGACCCTTAAGGCTGTGCTCCCAGGAAGGGCGCGCAGAATAGACCTTGGGTAGGCAAAGGGGTGGGGACAGGTTACCCAGGCATTGGTAACTGGGACAGCCCAGCTCCTTGACATTCACAGCCGTCTGGTACCTGGCAGTCCTGGGGCCCTGGAGAGGGGGTGGGTTAGGGCTGGGGCCCCTTACCTAGTCTGGTGAGCATCCCTCGCTGGACTAACCAGTTGGTTATCTGGTAGCATACACACCCTAGGAGACATAGGGAAAGGCGGAGGGACGCGTGTGAGTGCTTGAGGGAGCAATGTGCTCCCAGGTAGGTAGGCATGTGCTCCCGCTTCAGTCATTGTGGGCTCGGTGGTGCCCTGTACACTGGCATGCAACCTTGTTTTTTTTTGCAACCTCGTTTTTTAAGGAGTGTGAATTTGACTATATTGATGAGGCCAAGACTGTCAATTAAATGTGTGAAATTTATTTGTCTCTGTGTAACATACCTACCTACAAGAAGGTCTGAGTGAGCACCTTCATGTACATTATAATGTACGGTGGGGTTCTTTTCTTTTGCATATTAGGGATTGAACCCAGGGCCTTTATACTGAGCTGCATCCCTAATGCTTTTCTATTGTTTATTTTGAGGCAGGGTTTCACTAAGTCACTCAATTGCCCAGGCTGGGCTCCAATTTGCAATCTTCCTGTCTCAGACTCCAGAGTGAGTGCTGGCATTAGAGGCGGTGGCCACCCATACCTGCACCTGGCTTGTTTTGTGAGCCCAAGTCTCACTGTGTGGCCCAGTGGGTGTCCAGTCAAATTCTTGGACTCAAGTGATCCTCCTGCCTTAGCCTCCCGAGCTGTTACTACGCATGGGCACGACTGCACCCCAGCTGGTATGGTGGATTTTGGGGAGCTTGTGCTGTTCTTACAATTGTGGACGTTGTAAGAAAATACAAACTTTTTGCACATGTATGTAATTGTGACATGAAGATGAAGTCATCCAGGTACGTTTAGAATTTCTGTGCCCAAAGGGTAGGGACAGGAGTGGCTGGGCTGTGCCACAATTGAAGCTGATGTGCATCTGTGGGAGAGAGGCACTGTGTAAGCCCTAGGGGTGCATGGATGTCGTGATACTGTGTGTATGTGGCTGGCGAGTGTACTGCGGGGTATGTACACTTTGGGTACTGTGTGACTACTTAGGCTTTCTTAGATGCCAGATGGCTGGTAAGCTGCTGACTGCGACGTTCTTGTGTGTGACCATAGGGCTTCCTACGGGGCTTTTGCAGAGGCTGCTCAGAGAAGGACAAAGGCTGTGTGTGTGCTCAGGGCTGAGGACAGAGGTCCGCTCAGCAGCATAATTGCTGTACTCTCCCTTCCCACTTGCAAATGCTTATTGGAGAGTGCCTCCAGGCTGGGAGCCGCCCCTGAAGCGGGCGCCGGAGTGCCCTCCCTTCCAGCCTCCGGCTCCGGGCTGGGCCCAACCCCAGTGCTGCTGGCGCCAGGCGCTGGGAAGAGTGGCGGGTTTGCCGCCAGCCTCAGGCGGGAAACCAGGACCTCCCTGGGCTGCTCTCTCACCTCCAGCACCTCTAGGGGCCCCAGCTTCCACAAGTTCCCACAGGTGGACACAGACCGGCTCCTGGGCAACCATCCCCTTCCTTCCTACAGACCTCCCCCTTGCATCTACACCCCAAAGTATGCATGTCCACAGAGACACGCACTCACACTGGCCACGTGGTAGTGTCTCACTTGTACATTCCTGGGGTTTTACAAGTTATCTCTAGTGCCACAGAGTACAGCTCTGCTCCACCTGTTTTCCCACTGCTGGGCCTAGAAATCACTTATCCTGCTTGGGCCTTACATTCCCTACCTGCACACGGAGAGAGTTGGGGTTTTTCTCTCTGCTTTTGGACTGGTAACTGTGCTGACCATATCGTCCTCATGGATAAATAGTTTTTGAGTAGATAAATACTGATTTGCCCTAAAAAAAAATTCATGCAATCTTCTTCACCTGTACCTAAACATTACTTTTGAGGGCTGGGAACTTTTTTCTCTACCCCACGTGTTCTGGAAGAGGTCTGGCTGGGAAAGGTTGTGGAGTTCTGACCCACCCCCCCAGGTATGTGGTAAGTTAAGAAGAAGGGACAGGGTCCCAGCCGGAAATGCAGCCACCATGGATTCCGAGGTTCTCACTGTATCCCTGGGAAACCCCCACTTCTGCCCCATGTATGGAACGAGAAACACCAACAGGTGAGCCCCTAGGTAAGCAGGAGAGACTAACAGCCCCAGAGCAGCCCTGGTGGGTGGATATGAAGCTCTGAAGTACTTCTCTCCATCTGCAGCCTCCCGGTGCTGCGGAGGCTTGGCTCCTTCTGCATGTGTCCCCCACAGTGTGAGCTTCTGCCACAGAATCCAACATTCTCAGGGTGACATCTGGGCAGAGACCCCAGCGCTGCCTCACTGCAGGCTCTCCCGCGAGTCCTGCTGAGGACAGTTGTTAAAGCCTGGGGGGCCAAGGTGGAGGCCAGATTGCCTTTCTTCAGCCAGGCCTGCCGGCTTTCTGGCTGGATCAGGCGCCTGGCAAGTGAAAAGAGCAGATCTGAGGCCCTGGAGCCCGAAACAAGCTAGTAACTGCGCACAGGCTTGGAGGCTGACCCCTACCGGCCCACTCCCACCTGGTCAGCACACTTCTCTGCTGGTCAGCAGCGGTAGGCCAGTCTTACAGCGGCTGTCGAGGAGCGTCTGGGGCACCACAGACAAGGGCTGGGCTCCCCATCCTGCCAGGAGGGGCAGATAACCAGAGGGCGGCGGAGGCACTGGCCAGGATGCGGGGCCTCGCCTGTTTCCCTTGCGGAGGGTTTTTTCAATTCTGAGTCTCGAAATAAATACCGCTCTTTTCCCCTTCCTCTCCGGGTCTCAGGTGCCCTAGCTGTAATATCAAGAGGTGGGCTTTAGGCGAAGGATTTCTTCGCTCCTGCTGCTCCTAAATTATTTTCCTTGGGCCCACGGAGGTGGGTCCGCCACAGTCCGGGCAGTAGCAGGCCATGTCACCGTAACTGGTCCCGCCTCCCAGGGGAACGCGGATCTGACTGGAGTGTCGGAGGCGGAGCCTCTTCCGCAGTCGCCCGGCAGCCTGGAGTGAGTGGCTCCTCTAGAAGAACCTGGGACGCCACCCCCTTCTTCCTCCCGCCCCCCTGCCATTGGCCGGGAGGAGAGTTTGACATCAAAGCCGCGGCCTTATATAAACCAGAACCTGCAGGGGCGTCCGCAGAAGGGTTAAACGAGTTTTGGGACGCTATTCTCCAGGCCGCGACTGAACGTGCAGTGTCACCTCAGTCCTGTCCCGGTATCACCGAAAGCCGGCTCCCAGCGCCCAGCACCGCGCGGCCGGGAGCCCACGGGTGGCCCCGGTAGTCTGTGGGGCATATGGGGCGGCGCTAATCGGGCTGGCGGCGCAGGCCAGGAGCCTCCCCAACATGAACCTCGTGGGTAGCTACGCGCACCATCACCACCATCACCACCCACACCCCGCGCACCCCATGCTCCACGAGCCCTTCCTCTTTGGCCCGGCTTCCCGCTGTCACCAGGAGCGGCCCTACTTCCAGAGCTGGCTGTTGAGCCCGGCGGACGCTGCCCCGGACTTCCCTGCAGGCGGGCCACCACCCGTAGCTGCTGTGGCCGCCGCCTACGGTCCCGACGCCAGGCCTGGTCAGAGCCCCGGGCGACTGGAGGCGCTCGGGGGCCGCCTGAGCCGGCGGAAAGGCTCAGGCCCCAAGAAGGAGCGCAGACGCACGGAAAGCATTAACAGCGCGTTCGCCGAGCTGCGCGAGTGCATCCCCAATGTGCCGGCTGACACTAAGCTCTCCAAGATCAAGACACTGCGCCTGGCTACCAGCTACATCGCCTACCTGATGGACGTGCTGGCCAAGGACGCACAGGCGGGCGACCCCGAGGCCTTCAAGGCTGAACTCAAGAAGGCCGACGGTAGCCGAGAGAACAAGCGGAAAAGGGAGCTGGTGAGTTGGGCCTGCAGGCGACAGCCTAGGAAGCGAGCGGCTGCAGGGCAGGCGGTGAGGTGGGGATTGGTGGGGGTTTGCACCCGAGAGTGCGCGAGCTGAAAGGCTGAGGGGAGTCATGCAGACTGTCACAGCGTGAGAGTGTGCGCAGAGGGAAGCTGATTCACTACCGAATTATTCGTGACATGGGGATAGCATGCTTGTAAGGCCGAGGGGATGGAGAATCCCAATGCTTTCCAGCGGTGCTGGGGCCCTCTCTAGGAACCCATCCAAAGCCTCGGTCCCAAGAAGCTGCCCATTTGGTTTCCAGTTGGGAGGAGGTGCGTCCTAGCCCTGCGTTCTCCTGAAACCAGATTAGCCATGCAAGTAGGACTCGGTGAATGTGAATGTTAGGAGCACAGGGCCAATGGCCGCGTCATCTCCTTTCATTGCTGTACAGGTGGGGAGACTGAGGCATGGAGGCAGGGTTGGATAGGGCAGGCCTTCAGCCCAAGTCTCCAGTGTTTTCCGTTGGCCCCCCTCAGAAACAGCTGGGTTTGCGGGCAACCAAATGGGGTTTGGTTTGATTCACCTACAAACCAAAACCCAGAGGTTTTGTAGGTAAACAAGCTTGAGCTTCTGTTGTCTTCGGAGTTGCCATTCGGGCTTTTTTGGATCCTCTCCTCTGAAGGTGATACTAACCTAGTGCCCTGGGCCGCAGAACCTGGGGCGCTGTGATTTCCAGGCAGGCCAATGTGTGTGCTCCAACCCCACAGCAGGCCGGTGAACTAAGCCAGCTTACCTGGGGACCTGGAGAATGACAGATAGGCCTCGGATCTCTAAGCCACTTCCCTGGGCTCAGGAAGGGTCTCCCTGAAAGTAATTGTAGGGCGGATCCGGAGGTCTCACAGGGCACCGCTTCCGGTAAGCAGTGCCTCTGTTGCTGCTCCAGAGCCGGGAAGGAGGCTGCCAGGACCAGCAGTTCCTTCCTCCTTCACCCAGCCCTTGGAGGCTCTCAACACCTAGCCCCCATGGAGAAGCCAGATGCTAACCTAGGGAAGTTGGTGGGGCTTGTGGGTCCAGGAGCTGGGAAATTGTCGATTCCCACCTGTCCCAACTGCCAGCTCCCAGTGGTCTCTCTTAGGTGCCCTAAAGGCAACCCTGCACGTGTCTGCTTCACCAGATGCAGCAAATTCTTATTACCAAAACTTCTCAAGATCCCCATCCTTTTCTACATCCCGAGAACTTGGTGCATAAAGGCAAATTTATGAGCCTGTTTGCCTATTTCGCAAAACAGAAATCCGTCACTTATTTAAAGCCTGGAAGTCCCTGCTCAGCACACTTCCCCCCACCCCCTAGCCGGGTGAATCAGAGCATAATGGTGTAAACCTCCTCTCTCGCCTTTTTTCGTGTGTCTGGCAGCCACAGCACGAAGGCTTTCCTGTCGCCCTGGGCCCAAGCGAGAAGAGGAGTAAAGGGCGCACCGGCTGGCCACAGCAAGTCTGGGCGCTGGAGCTAAACCAGTGAGCCGAGACCCGAGCGAGGACCTGGCCCCGGCTGGCCGACCCGGGCGGGGACGAGAGGAAAGCGGCGGCGAAGGCCAGCCTCTGGGCCCCCCGGCTGGAGCCTATCGTGCCCAGCCCCTACCCCGGTGCTGGAAGGTCGTTGGTTGTAACCACACACTTGGATCGCACGTGCAATGTCCTTTGAAATTGTTTTAAAATACATTAAGAGAAAGAGAAATTTATATTATATATATGTATATGTATATCGCCATTTCCTCTGAGGGTGACCCGAAGCAGGATGGAGGAGCTGTGGAACCGAAGGGCCCAAAGCCTCCACCATTCGTGCTGTGCCCAATCCAAAATCCCAAGCGCCACCCTCTCTCTGCTCTCCGGCTCTCTTTTCCCCCCTCCTCTTTGCGTCAGAATCCCCGGATATCTTCGCAAATTGAAATGCAATAAGAGGAATCAATAGTTTTCCAACCGGGAAACCGAACCAAAAGCAGCAAGACGGAGGGCTGACTTTTGTTCCCTTTAAGACTGTAGTGTTTTAATTATATTTTTATCGCTGCCCTTCCTACCAAGTCCCCCTCCCTCCTTCTTTGCTCCTTTCTAGATATAAACTTTCCCCAATGTTGCAGTTTTTTAATGTATTTAAACTACCTATCAAGCCTGTTTCGCTCAGGTGTTTTCTCTCCGGGCTCACTCCTTTTCTACCTCAGATCTATAAGACCACTCACAGCCCTTCCTTTGCCAAAGCAGCATCTATGCTCTTGACTAATAAAAAAGTTTTCTGATGTTCTTGGAAACCTGCGTGGTGTCTCAGCATCTCAGTCCGCGGCCCGTCCCCGGCTCTGTGGCTCCTCGGTGGCAGCCTGAGTGTGCATCCTTTTCCCTTTCGTAAGATTCAACCAAGTTGCCAATCAAGTCGGGGGACGGAAGCCGAGATCGGATCTATTCCCGGAACGAAGAGGGAAGTTCTTGGACTGTAACTTCAGGACAGGGTAATTCACGCGAGCCGCCAGCAATAAGCAGGAAAGGACCAAGAGGTTGGTCAGGGCGGGTACCTGAAGGTCTGTCTATGTGCACCCTGGTGTCTGCAGATTTGATGGAGAGGGGCGCACTGGGGAGCGAAAGGGGGGCAATCGTACACACCAGGGCCGCTCTCTGGGGTGTGGGAGGGCAGTGCGCTGGAGAACGCGTCGAGGTGTGTGAAATTGTGGACGGGTGCGCGAGTGTCACTCCCGCGTGTGCTTTGCACAGCCCCGCGCGCAGTTCCGCGAGCAGCCAGTCGGAGCGGCCGCGGTCTTACAAGCGAGTAAAGGCAGGTTATTTTTATGGTTAGGGGCGTTTAGGTCGCCCCAGTACGGCACCCCACACGTTTTGGGGAGCCTGCGGCGGTCTTACAGGGGCCTACGCGCGCGTCGCCAGCATCCGCGCGGGGTTCTCGCGCGCCTGCCTCCGGGTGGCCTCGGCCGCAGAGACCGCGCTGGCTGATCCAGGCAGCGCATGCGTGCGTGTTCGCGTCCGGGGGAAAGAATATCGCACTGCCGGTTTTATTGCACGCAGCCGAATACTAAGCGCTGAGTGGAGAGCTTTCGCGTCCCCCAGCAGCGCCCGGGCCTGCTGCAGGCGACGCAGCTGTGCGGCGGAGGCAGAGGGCGCGCGGGGGCCCGGGCCCAGGCGGGCTTCCCAAAGGCTGGACTGGCGGACCAGAAAGGCGTCCGGGCGGCGGGGCTTCCCGCAGCCCCAGGCGTCCCTTTCCCGCCTCGGGGTGACTACGGGGCTCCATTAGTCCAGGCTGTAAACACCGTAGCAGAGGCGGAGAGGCCACGCGGGCCTTTCCGGACGCGAAGGAGTTAATAAAAGGTGTTTTATGGGCGCAAAGAGGAGGTGGGGGAGGTGTGAGCTTCTCCCTACTCTCGCCCCCCTACTTTTTTCTTTTTTCCCCTCTGCCACCCGCCTCCAGATCAAACAGGCCGGCGATTTAACTAGGGCAACACCTCGAGGTAATGAGGCGGCCCGATGCGCCCCTCCCCCGGCCTCCAAACGGGGTCGGAGGCCCCCAGGCCCCTTGGGTAGGCGCTGAAAGAAAGACCGAAGGTTCCTTAACTTTTTAACTTCCTGGAGCTGGGAGTGCAGTTGAAATGCTAGTAGGCATAGGGAAACAGATTCAGGCAGCCAGACGCTGGAGGGCCCAGGACGGGGAGGGCTAGATTCGAACCCGGGACCCAGGTCAGCGGGGTGCACTATCCTCTATCGGTGAACAGGGCCCAGCTCGCGCTATTTATAGCACTGTGAAGTATCCGAGGCACGGGAGGAATGCATACCCGGGTCTGGCCAGGAGAAGAGGGGTACCTCCTCAGGGGCACCGCCAAGTGGGGCCTACCAGGCCTCTTCAGGAAAACCCATCCAGCTGGCCCCAAACCCTCTTCGGGCGCAGAGCAGGCAGGCAGACCGACCCTTCAATCCGGTTAAGTCCTGTCGGTTCTCAGACCCTGAATCTGCACACAAGAGACGGAACCAATACCCTAGAAGGGGATCGCTGGTATTGTCCTACCTTCCCAAATCCACGCACCACGGCCGGGCCACGTTCTCCTCGCCCAAGAGAAGCCGAGCGGAAGAGTCGGAGCTGCTTCTGGGCGCCTGTCTCCCCACGGGACTCCAGGCTGGGTGCGACGCTTCCCACTCGTCTGGGTGCTCACCCTACTTCAGCCCTCCTCCTCTGCGAATTTCAGAGCTTGCAAGACACTTTCTGATTCTTTGTCGGGGTCTCCAAACAGTTGGTCACACACCTCAAACCAGTTGTGGCAGAAACAGTGCCATCCGGATTAAAACATTATTTTAAATAAATATGTTATCTTTTAATATAGAAATGAAATGACAATTTAACAAACTGCATGAATATTTCGTAAAGGAAACGGTCACTGATCCTACAAGGATTTAATTACAGAGCAATTGAGCTAAAGAGTAAAAAATAGGAAAAGATGATGATGTGGTTTAATTAGAGAACTGGTCAAATAAATGTATCAGAACAGTGGATTATTACGCAGCCTTTAGAAAAAAATGTGAGAATTGTGAAATTTATCCATGATATATGAAGTGGGGAGAGCTTTCCCACCATAGTAGCTCTGTACATTGTGACCTCCCTTTATATAAAACTATAAATAAATAGTATTCATTGAGAAAATGTGGAAGAGTATTTATCAAATGTTTCCACTTCTACCCTTGGCTTCTGGGAGTAAGAATAATTTTTACTTTTCTTCTATTACTATTTTACTTCTATTTTTTTCTACTTTTTTTTTTTTTACAATTGAATAAAATTACTTTTGGGATAAAAATTAAGTGACAATTTCCTTCAGATTTCTCCTACTGCCAGCATACTTTCAACGCTATCTGCAGTTTATTTAACATAAGTCTTTTAAGTACCTTCCACGGGTGAGGTGCTGTGGGTCTATAAATATAGGGAAGGAGAGGAGATATTAATGCAGTTAGTGGTTAAATTATAATAGTAAATAGCTGTCTCGAAGGGTTCTGATTCATCCCACATAGCAGATGTGCTTTTTTGTTCCATTTAAAACTAACGAAACAACCAAAGAGGGCAAACAAGCTGTTTGTATCCTTAGCGTGTATTAGTTCATATCAACCTCACAAGACTTCTGCGAAGTAATATTACGGGTGGCTCCGGCTGAGAGAGGTGCAGGATCTCGGCCAAAGTCACGTTGATGTACGCGGAGGGTGAAGGCAGGCTGAGGTGGGTCAAAGTGCAGATTGGCTGACGTCAGAGACCTGGCTTTTCTGTACTATGCAGAGCACCTCCACCCAGGGTGGGTGTGTGTGTGCGTGTGCGTGCGTGAGCACACACATTCGCGCACGCTCATATGCACATGTGTACAGATTCATGCAATCACAGCTCATTCCCTCTGATTGTCCATAGTCTCCAAGATAAGAAGGAAGGAAGGAATTCTGGGAAGCTGGCTAGGGTTCCAGCTCCAGCCTCCCCTGGAACTCTTGTTGGGGGATTCTAAGCAGTCTTCCTATAAAACCAAAGGAGAGCTAGGCCGCAGATCTCTGAGAGCTTTCCTGCCTTCAGCAGGGGAAAGGCTCTGCCTGTGACTCTCGCGGCAGCCTCTGTGTGCCTTAGCCCAGCTCTTCCACCTTGCCTGGTAGTGAAGCACGCTTTCCTCTGTAACCCAGGAGGGAGCTAGTCAGGAATGGTGCTCCCTAGGGATGGGGAGAGGGAGAGCCAGTCTCAAAGGCGCCCAGAGGGGTCACAGCCAGGCAGAAGCAGGGCTTGGATTAGAGGTGCTCTGCAGGCTTGGTATCTGGAGGGCTGTCTCCCAGAAGCCTCTGGAACCTTCTCTCCCTGCAAGGGGCAGTTAAGCTCACCTCTTGCTAAGTCCTCATAAAAGAAACAGAATTACAAAATCAGTCAGCCTTATTTTTAAATGAAAAGTGAGTGGGAAGAAAAAAAAATACACACTCTTAGAAGTGTCTGAAACTAGCCTCCTGATTTAAACCCAATTTGTTTGAAAAAAAATATTTTTTTTCAGCAGAGAGTTTTTACAGCTGAGCTCTCCCAAACCCATAAAAAACAAGGTTTATATGGGAAATAGTGAAAGACTCTTAACTATAATACACAGCGTCTAATGTAAGCAGACACAGACACTATATAAAGCTCCTACAAATGTTATTAAAACAAACAGAAATACACATTTATCCCTGCAGAATGGACAACGGAGGCGCTGGATTTTAAAGGAACTCACAACTCCTGGGTTCGCTGAAATACGCAAAGGATCCTACAGCACTGGGCTCCCCATGCTAATGTTCCCCTTGCTTTACCCAGGGGAATTAATGCCCACAGAGGAGAGCCCTGTGACAGTGAGCTGCACTCTTCTGTCCCTTACTGACTGACCACTTTCTGCTTCTAGAACAGCTGGAGAGCAACGTTGGGACTGGAGACCTGGGTGAGTCAGTTCACCGAAGCTCAGCTTCCCCATTTACAAGCCAAAGAGAAGGACTCCAGCAGGCCTTCCTGGGCTCGAGAGAGCCAGAAGGGACCCAGAGAAGGATGCAAAGCCCTGCTCCACAGTCTGGGGCAGAGCTGCTTTGATCACTTTGTGTATCCCTCTGCAAGGTTGTTTTGGTTTGTTTGCTGTTTGGGGAAAATAAGGCTATTCAGGGACTTGCCCGAGGGTGCAGAGCCTGCCACTGGTTCTCAGATTCAAAGCTCTTTATGGGCATCATCCAGGTAAACCAAGAGGTAGATAGGACCGGAGATCCCAGTTTCCAAGAGACCAGCTAAGGTGGCCCTCTTCCCTAGAAATAGAGTACAAGCTATGAGTCATATGTATAGTTTAAAAAATTTCTTTCTTTTTTTTGTTTTTTGTTTTTTTAGGGCAGGGTCCACTGTGTAGTCCAGACTGGCCTTGAACTTGCAGTCATCCTCCTGCCTCAGCCTCGGGAATGCTGGTGTGCACTACTGCGCCTGGCCTATAATTAAACATTTTTTGCAGCCACATTACAAATGTGCAGAGAAATAGGTGAAATTTAAAAATAAAATTTAACTCAAAATGCCCCAAATATGATTTTTGCTTGAACCAATATAAAATTGTTTACGAGACGCTCTACATCCCTCTTTTCATACTAAGCCTTTAGAATCAAAGGTTGTGTTTTATACTTGCCACACACCTCAGTCTGGATCGTGTTTCAAGTATTCCCCGCAAACAGTGCAGGTCTAGGGGGTCATGGAGAGGGAATACTTAACTTACTAGCCTCAAACGACTACTTTT